TGTCTCCCACTTTCCCTTAATTAAACAAACGGCAGTTAAGTCCCCAGAATGTAGGTTGGTTGGTTCTCCTAGCACCTATTTGCACATTTTTAAACAATGCAGTCACCTTAAAAAAAAAAAAAAATTACAGGAATCAGTTGTTTGCATTAATTCTTGCTATAGAATATAGAAGTAGATAAGGGTGGGATAAAGCATCAAACAGTTTGAGACATAAGTGATGCATATGAATGTCTTAGTCCTACAAGAGAATCAGCATTTGATAGCATTTTACATACTGAATTCAGTGCATTTGAAGAGTTTCAGAATCATAATGGTTTACCTACACGGGCACAGGTATGTTTTGATCTTTTTTTGATTAATTTTGTAGGACTTTATAGCCAAATGCCTTTAGGAATATGTATCTATACACATTGAAAACAAACAACACTCACTTTATAGATGCACAAAACCAACACAAAAAGCCTTAGCTGCACAAGTGTATGTACGCACCCCCAAAAAAACATTCTCTGCTCTTTCAACACAAGTGAAAGCAAATTAAATGGGCAAACAACTCACAAGAAATTGCTGCCTTAAATACATGGACCTTCTCGTCACGGCCTTATGAAGCTGTAATTATCCAACATGCAAAAAGCACTGTTAATTTTGATCATAAAGAAATTAAAAGCATTTTAACCATGCTAGGAACTGTGATTATTTTAAAATGGATGCAAGAAGAGCTAGATTTGTATTCTGAATGTGAGCATCATGCTAGGGATGTTTTTTCCTTAAAAAAAAAAAAAAAAAAGCACGTCCAACGCATGCTATTTAGGAGAAGCATTTGGCTCAAAAACACAGAGCAAAGCCAAGAGATAACCAAACTGAATGTATCTGCACTACAGGTATTGCCCTCTCAACCCACTAATATTCATGCCTCTTCCCAACTCTCTCAGCACTGGTTAGTTCACCTTCAGCATGCATAAGAGTTGATGAGGAACTCTCCCTCCTACTCTACCTAATTTTGCTCAGCTGATTCCTTGCCCTGGACAATGGCTGCAGTGCGATGAACTCGTCACTTAAAGCAACTCTGTTGGAGTACATCTACAATTGGACAGAGAAGGGATGGAACATACATGTCAGTAAGTAGCAGCAGTAATTTTCTAAGAGAAAGACACAGGACAAGACATTATTTCAGTGGAATACACATCATATACAGAACACAAGCCTGTTACCTTCAGGACAGCTCCTGGGATCATCACAGGCAGTTATTGTTTGGCAGGACCATTCGTAAGTGTACCTTAGCTGTCACACTGAGAAAAAAGGCCTATACACTTCTACATCTGTACTTTGCCAGGCATCTTTATACACTATTACCTTCTTCCCTCAGCAGTCCTGTGATTTGTATTTACCTGGAGATTTATATTTTGATTCAGATTTACCTGACTGTCCACTTCCTCCTATACGATTCTGTAACAGACCTATGGACAGAAATTACCCAGAAGATACCTCAGGGCAACAGACTTAAGTCAAACGTAATAAGATGGATTTCCTTTAAGGCCAGCAAGAAAAACTTGTAACATCGGAAAAAAAAAAAAAAATTACACATGCACCCCAAGTGCATCAAGGAAGGTAAAGTTAACCCAGTCATCCCTCTATAAAAGTCAGCTCGTGCTTGCCTATCAAATTTTTAATATACTGACTTCCCAAAATAGGACAGATTTTCTTTTTTTTAACGTTGTCACAGAAGAATATTTACATTTGAAAGTTTATCTTTAGCAGAATTTCTCCACTGTTCCTCTCATACCAGTTAAATTTACTTTCTCTTATGAATAACTTAGCCACATGTAACATCTAACTGATGACTAAACGAATGACTGTTGATGCTATGACCTTATACTAAATAAAAGATATGAAATCAAGTTCCATATATACTAAATAGAGTAAGGCAGGTGCCTACAGATACAGTGAATTCAGAGCATTAAGTTGGGTAACTTGCATAACTACTGTGCTCTTAGTTTCTGAAAAATTAAAACAAGAGGGGCAAGCATTTTCAGTTGAGAAACCTGTGTTTTGCTCACTGCTCCTGTGAATACTTCAGTATTTAAACGATGGTGAACAGAAACAACTAAATAGCTGTGTTTAAGAAATCAGTGACTATTTCATGTAACAATTTATCTTGCCCTGATAAAAACTTAGTAGCTGTCAACTAAACTTTTTATTTCCCCCAATATGCAAATATACTAATTCAGTCCTAGAGTTAAAAATAAATAATTAAAAATATTCAGTTATACAGAGGGTGCACCTACACTATGAAAAAAGCATTTAAAAGAGCAATATACAAAGTTCTATATTCACTATTTTGATGACTTCCACAGAAAATTCCTTAGCCTTTAGGATAAAGATGTTTTCCAAACTTATTCTATCTGAAAGTCCAAGTCCTCTCCTCTGCTTTGAAATGGAAAGAAAAATATTTACTAGAAGTTTTAAACAAATCGCATGAGGTATAATCATGAAAGAAGCATTCTGTCAATTCTTGAGAATAAATGCGCTAAGGTGATCATCTGTTCATCTTCACTTACATCTACTTCCTCATTACAAGAATAGCTGATGAAATTCAGTGGGGCTGATTGTCCCATAAAAGTAAGAGTAGGAAAATCTCAATAAACCTCAAGAAAGTAGTAAACAGGTGCCTTTTCACAAATACATTTTTAAATATGATTTCACTATCAGATACAGAGAAACCCCAGAATGGCTGCTGAAGCATTTCTGGTTAAATCTGATTTTAGATACCTCGACTTTGCAATACCAGGACGTAAGTGTTTTCAAAAAAAGACAGTACTGTGGTAAACATAGGCCCTAATGCTGATACTATCAAATAGCAAAGTAGAGTAAGGAGAGAACAACAACAACAAAAAATTACTAATAGAGATGCACAAAGTCAAACTCCCATGGCTATGAATCAAGCTATAGCCACAGGAAAGGTGTTAGACGTTCATCAAGACTCTTTCTTAAAAAGTCCAACTGTGTCGTTGATGACAACTGTAACGGAAGAAAACCAAACCCAGAAATTCTTGAGGATTGACTCAGTATGCAAGAGAATGCAACAAGAAGTATAGGGATAAAACTAGGGGAAAATGATGTAGGCTTTTTGGTTTTTAGTTGAAGCACTTCAGGAACATGAGAAACTTCACCAACCATACCAGTACACTGCCAGATGGAGACAGCTGATGTACAAGAAGGAAGGAAAGGGAAGTGTTCGATAAATATTGCCACTAGTTTTTGAAGGAAAATAAAAAAAGAACAACATGTATCATTACCTACAGATCTTTTCCTAAATCAAGACTCTTCAAATGATGATCCAAAAAGCGCAGTAACATAAAATCAGGAGTCTTATCAGGTCTAGCTGAACAGTTTTCTGAAAGCTAAGGGTTATTTACATTGGTTTTTAACTACTAAATTCCAAGACTGGCAAAAGCAGATAATATTCCAGTTTTGAAAATGGACTAATGGGATATTTTGGCTAGCAATATGTTTGTGAGCATGATGTTGATCCTAGGCAAATTAAGAGAATGTCTCACATAGATTTTTATTAACACACAAATTAGAAGGGTAATGTGATTTAAGTAAATCAACATGCACTTACATCAAAGTAATTACAAGGTTAGATGCTAAAGCTAACAATGCAATTAAGAATTCTGTATGGCACATAGCTCAGTGTAATCTGGATTAAGCAACTAGAACATCACAAAATCAAAATGGCACACAAACAGACTAAAAAATGCTAACAGGTTTCAGAACATAACTGTATATGGATTATCTTTGTCAAGTGGATTCTTCATTCACTTCCATGTTTTTTTGGCCTATGCTATTTGACCTATGATCAATGACCTGAAAGAAACCAACATAATCACTTGAAGATTAGAAAAAGATGCAGAACATAACAAGGTTACTGATGTATATTATTCTGTAAACTGAATACAGATGGGGGATTCGTTATTTACATAGTTGGCACTGATGTATGCTGTGCCCAGTAATGTGTCCACTCGTGATATCCAAAATTCAAGATGGGGTTGAGGAATGGTGAAGATTACAGAAGAAACATGAGAATGATTCAAAGACCGAACATAACCTTTTTGACAAAAGATGCAAGTCCAAATTACTTATCAGTGAGAAAATTAACTCGATCACAAAACTAACTGAATAAAACAAAGAACTGTTAATAGAAGGCTTTTCAGTTTAGCAGTAGTATAAAAAGATTAAATGCTGAAAACTGAAACCAGAGACAGTAACTATTAGAACAATGGGTCAGGATGAATTCTCCATAATAGTCACTAAAAAGAAGAACATACTCAAACATAGATGAGATATTTACCTAAAAGACAGCCTAATTTCAGCAGAATTATTTCAAGGAGTTTTTGTAGCCTGTGTCAGGCAAGAGGGAGATTCTATTATATCAGCATATCTTTAGACCTCTTCTGTGAATTTATTAAAATGTCACAAAATTAACTATCTTTAATGGCATAATCATCAAATACATGGCATATATGATAAGATCAAGATTTAAGAAATACTAATTAAAACAAGTCCTACTGAAGCAATGTTTAAATTACTGTTTTCGTCACGTTAAGAACTATTTGGTAGAATTAGTTGAAGAGAGAGCTTCTAATACCTAGACAAAAATGAGAATAAGTTACCATCTTTAAAGCAGTACAAAAATGCGTATGATCCTCATACAGTTGCAAAATGAGATGCAAAACAGAGTAACCCCTTTATAAATAATTCTACTATTATTAACATGAATTACTTAAACATAAATGTTATTTCCCTGTAAAACGGTGTCCTCATTTTTGTAATTTTAAATTAATAATTATCTTTTGAAATGAGAACACTTTTATGCATTAAATATGACAGCAATATAAGAAGACAATTAAATATCACAGGAAAGTAATTAGTTTACAAGACAGATTTTAACGAATGTGTTCTTTTAACTCTTGATTGAGTTGGATACAAAAGCGTAACATTACCTGAGCTTTTTCAGTACTTGTTGGTTGCAGATGTCTGTACAGCACTTTCTTCACAACATCAATAAACAAACAAGCAACTACTATGAGGATTATGGCAAACCAAGCAGAACCACTTGACAACAGTTGAACAAATACAAAGTACATGTCCTGGGTATGTAAAAATGGCCTGCAAAGTTGAAAGAAGTGGCAATTACTTAAAGGAATTTACAGAAACAAAGTACATCACAGGCAGGAACAAATGTAGTTTATTTTACATCAACTACTAAGTCTCTCAGGATGCAGAGATACAACTGCATGGTGTCCATGAAAAGGTCTAGCAATCTGTTGGACCTGGCCTGCAAAGAAACTCTTGGGAAGGAGGGTAGCGAACTTTGGAGGGAAATGTTCTGATTGCATTGCAGGAAAACAATCACCTCCAAGATCCCAAAATGCAAGCAAAAATACATCACTGATGCAAATCCCAGCATCTTAATTTCTGTTACAAACATTTACCAATTATATAGCTCCTTTGGGAACACATCTACTTTTCAAAACCAAAAATGCCTTTACAGCCAGACACAGGTTGTCAGAGAGAAGTAATGCCCTTCCTTGAGCACAGGCTAGCTGAGCAGCGTTGCTCAAATTTCTAAGAATCACCAAAAGCAAGTGACCACTCTACGTTTAAAAATTTATTTTCCAACACCTGTCACAAAATTCAGAGCAAGATTGTAGAACATAATACTTCACTGTTTTTTCTTAACTTCATATATCATATGTGCTATAGAAAGGAGAAAAAAAAAAAGAATCACTCACCAGATAATTCCCCCATAAAACAAGGAGAATATGAAATAAAATACAATGGATCCCCAAGTAACAAAATGGTTTATCCATGTCCAGAAGTGAGTTTCTAGTGCCATCTAAAACAAAGATAACTTCAATGAACTTCTTTTTTCTCCCCACTTCACAGAAAATGATAAATACCAGTTTGGATGTGCTTATGAACTTCCAGTTCAAACACTAAATATGTTTGTAGGATGCAAAAACTACAAAGACAAATTTATCCACCATTGAAACCAAGCATAAAAAAAAAAATCACTTATCTGCAATCCTCAAAAATTGATTATTTCTGTATAACTTTTAAATCTATTTTAAATTATGATCTATTACATATTTGCCTATATATCCAAACACAGAGAGTAATTATTATAATCTCATACCTTCATCGTAACAGTTATAACCATAACAGTGAAGACCAAAGTACCAAATGTCCAGTTTCCAAACATCTAAGAAAACAGCAAGGCAAAAATCATGGAAGAAAAAAAAAAATCAGTTAGGAGCATTCACAGCAACCTGGATTCTTCTCAAGTCAGCTATGCTAATTAAACAAGTCTGTGGATGTAAGATTGTGACAACTAATCATCATGAAAAAGGAAGGATACAACACAAACTACTAGGAAAAAATACAGAATACGATAAGAGCAAAATTAACAACCCACAAGTCATCTTTCTTCTTGGTTCAAAACAAATCACCACAAAGGCTACATGAAATATGAAAAAAGTCAAAACCAGTAATATGAAATGATAGGAAAATGAAGATATCAATTTGGTCAATTAAGTATAAGCATCCAATAGAAAGCGAGTATTGGGTGGAAGGTATTCACTTTAACATAAAGTGCAAAACACTGTGTTTAAACATTTCCAGATCATTTTCAGTGTGCAGCATCACCTGAAAGTTCACTTTTTACCCCAAGCACAACTTTACAATTCAAAAATAATGGTGCCATTGTATTTTTCAAAGAAATTTCTAAGGAAAAGACACTTTGTTTCAAGGCTAAAACACACAGAATTAAGCTTCAATTCTAAAACGCTGTATCTGTCACTTTTGGATTCTCTTACCCGTGTAAATTAAACTATCAAAACTCTGAACAAGTTCTACAACAATAAAATCTCAGCTCTGACAACCAAGCGGGGATGCTGAGTTTGTAATCTATCTACACACATGCTACTCAGACACACACTGCCATTCTACAACAGGTCCAACTGCTCTGCTCCTGTAAGCAGTCTGGGTGCTGAAACTGAAGATGCTGCTGTTTCACAGCTATTTTTGCCACTGACATACTGAACAACCAAACCCTAAACTCTGCATTTACCAGTAGCAAACTAAGCAAGCAAGGAGAAAGGTACCACATGCAGACAGGCAAAGTCATCCTAGAGTTGATTTGTTAGTACAGCACAGAGGCACGGAACTGGGATTCACACAGTTGTAGTCCTTGTTACAGAGCTCTGACCAAAAATGGGGGGGGGGAAAAAAAAAAAAAAAAAAAAAAAAAAATCGCAACAGCCTGATGATAGATCTCACAACTGCTTTTCTCATCTTTACACAAGGTACAAAATTGAGGCAGCCATGACTCTGGATTTACTGATAATTTTAAAGATCTCTGTTATAACACGTATTCTGAAGCCTTCTATTTACTTTTCACACTGATAGTTATGTTTAATAAGCAACATGCTTGCTGTTAACTGGTGCAATTATAACCTTAAAATAAAATTAGACTCCTATTCCTGAGTGACCTGTGAAAGAAAGTGTCTTTGCTAACGTTGCTCTCAATGGTCAGAGAGTTAGAATGCAAAATGTGAACAGGTTCTTGCCACCATTTTATTTTTGAACACATTTACACTGTGGATGCTGCATCCTTTAATCCAGTGAAGTAACAGATACGGTATTTTGTATCTCCTCCTCTTCTAAACTCTTACCATTTGCCTGTTAGGTTTCAATATCTGACGACATGCACAGCATGAAAAAGGGGGGAGAGAAAAAGAACTAAAAAATCAAGTTGTTGTACAATGTGTTGAGGTAAGCCTAACAAATCACCAGCATTAACAAATTATTTACAATCTTTTCTATTCTGCTTTGCTCTATGCAGAGAACCAGGAATGAAAATGTGAGGGTTTGCACTAACACTACCCTGTACCACACATTCACATGAGGTTATCACTTCTTGAGGACTTTTTACAAGAAAGCACTTCAGTAGTACATTAGTTTCTCTTGCCCTTAACTTTGGCTTTTTCAGGCACACATTAAATTTGCAACGTACTTTATGGACCACAGATATTTTACTGCAACACACAGTTCCACCAGTTCGAATAACCATCTTTTAGCAAACACAGAGAGGCAGACAGTAACTCCAAGCAAATTCTAAGACTTTTTAAATTACATTACAGAAAACACGAGAAGCCAAAGGGCATCTGAAAGCTTTATTTCCAGTATGCTCATTCACTAAGTATATTTAGAAAATCTTGAAGTTAATTTACACAAGAAACCATTAAAAGAACCTTCTCTATAAAGTCTACATTAACACACTGGTCTAGGCTTACAGAATATAGTCTGTTCTTCGAACTACACATTTCTTACTCAATTTAATGAAAAAAAGTCTGATCCTGCCTTGTGGACATCTACTAAACAATTTTGAAGTGAGCTGCTTTGACAACTACGACAGATGCACAGAAACACCGATTCATAGTGTAAAATTACTTCATTAGAAGAGTACTGAATGTCCTTTACCAATTCACAAGAACTTCAAAGTCACACAGCTTGTAACAAGTGACAAGAGAGGACACACCTCAGTTGTAAGAGATGTTTTAGTCTAAAGCACAACAATTTTAATGTTCTTATCAAACACCTCATGATGAAATTAGGTACTCCAGCTTGCTGCATCACTTCCCCCTTATTGCTCCTTTCTCTGCAGGGACACTAACCACCAGTTCACATGCTCTCTGATTTTAGTCACTCAACACAATTCTGGACATCATTATATAGAAACCCTTTTTTTAGCCAAACTTTCCCAGCTCATGTCCACTCCCTATCACCAGGTGACCACTGTAAATACAGCACGATGCTATTTTCATAGCTTGTGCCCTAACTTGCAACTCTACCAAGCATGGCATGAGATTCAGCAAGCACTTCATCTCAGTAGTAAGAATAGCGTAATGAGAGAAGCAAATGTATTTTTGTATCACTACTTATAGCAGTTTTATGACAGAAAAATAAGTATCTAATTGTTCTAAGTTGGGTTAACTAACTCAGAACCAGGGAAAAATGAGGAAGCAGACTTGTTTCATCCAAGCTTTATCTTTCATGTATTATTCTTCCTGTGAACTTTAACATCTTTAAAATAGAAAGTGTTAAATTAGTATTTGATGATTTCATTAAGATATTGTCTTAAAAACATATATTAAATAAAAAGTATAATTTAAATGTAGCTTGCACCACTTAATTAATCAAAATCTTAAAAAATTAAGACATTTTCAGAAGCTTTAAGACTTTTGGCAACTTTCAGATTTAAGCCTAATTCTATAGCAGATGCTAAAGAGAAGTCATTGTTTGCAATTAAGTCTAACTGAAAATCAGTTTTGAATTCATAAAAATTCTTATTTACTGAAATTATGAAATATGATTTTGACAAAAACATTATACAAAATAAAACAAGAGTTTAAGACAATCATAACACCTTTATAATCTTGAAGGATATGTTCTTCATGGACATACGCTTTCTGACAAAGTGTCTCACAGTTTCCACAGTAAGGAATGTTACTCTTGAGAGCACGCACAAATATTGGCAAAGAATTTTTAGTAATTAGTTAATAAAAATTAACAAAATCTTGCATTTTTCTGACACGAGGATTTTTCAAAAAAATTTAAGAACTATCACCAAAAATACAGTAGTAGAGTAAATTTTATGATACCGTACCTGGCCATTTCCCAGCAGAGAAGTGTCTTCTCCCATTAGAAGATATGAGCCATAAAAGAAAACAAATGCATGAAAGAAGCCCAAGATGGTCCAATAAAGAAATGGTTTAAATCCCAGATGGGCATTTTTACTGATGTCTCTGCAGAAATAAAAGATTTGGATTTCAGACTGTCTTTATATAACCCATCAGCTATTCACATTGCATGACAGCTACTGTTTTGAATAAATGTAACTTTCAGCTGCATCAAGATACATTTAACAAATGCTGTCATATGAAAAAAATACATGAATCATGGGCAAAAATGAACTCTGAGCTCTCATGATTTGCCTCTGCTTTACACAAGGATCACCAATGGCAAGGGTGTCTAATGGGGCAAATTCAGAATAGCACAAGCTACTATTCTTGTCCCTGAAGGTGGAATTGTAAGAGGAAGAAAAAGTCAGATCTCCCGATACTCACCCCCTGTTCTGATTAAAAGACCTTTAGGAAAAGAGGAAATATCTAAGAGACATCTCTTTCTTACAAAAATACTTACTTTTTTCTCAAAAAAACCAGTATGCAGTGCAACACACTACCACTGGGAGGACATCTAATTCTACAGGAAATCATTTCCCCTCTTAGTAAAGCATTTTCAGTGGTGACTCCCCTAACCAGTGTCTTAGTTTTTCATTTGCATGTCTGAGTGATTTTCACCTCTGACATGCAATGGAGAAGGCTGTCAATCACGTAATCTGACCAAGTGCTCAATTCTCTTCCAGTCTTAACATGGCAGACAAAATGATGCTTCTCTTAAAATATGTTAATTAACTTTTAGGTTGTAAACTATGTAGCTGCAGTTCTTCCTCATCAAGATAGTTACTAAAATTGCATAAATTACAGATAAAAATACTTTAGGAATGCATGATAGCAAGTTCAGACTTCTGCAGATGCCACTGTTGTTCTAAATTATATGGTACTGTGACAATATATGTCAGATATACATACCGATAGAGCACAGGTTTACTCTGTAATACATGCGGATGTACATGCTGTTCAAAAAGACTGTATATGAGGACAGGCAAGGAAGTGAAACAAATATTGTACAAAGTCAGGTATACACTGTCATAGAGCGTCTGAAAACAGAAGCAAAAATTATTTTGAGTCTTGTAAACAAAAGAATTGTTCATGCTAAAATTTACTAGCACACTAGAAGTAGCAACAAATCAGTAATTATGTGAATTCACTAACTAGAAAAAAGCTGTACTCACATAACCATCTAGTAACATCAAACTATCAAATATAGAAAATGAAGTTGGATATTTGTTAAACGTAAAATTTGTGCTGCTCCTGTGTAGTTCTTTCCCATTTTTTTAAATTATTTACCTTGAGTGTTTCATACACATTTACCAAGAGGCAAGGCATCCAATACTTACTTGTTGTGAAAACAAACAGAAGAACTGATATAAAAACTGTGGTGTAATAAAGCACACATTCTGAAAAAAAAATAAAAGTGAAGGAAACAGTTAACCCTCAGTATATGTCTCGCAACGCTAGAAAAACCTGTTAACTCTTAAAGGCTGGTAAAAATACACAGAGAAAGCATAAAGCATTTCAGCATTTTAGTTGGCAAAGTGAAGCAATATGCTTTGCTCTAGACCATATTTTGTTTGTCCTTTGGGACAATGAACCTGAAAAATATAAACTTAATTATATGTGCCTGATGAACACGTCTCATCAAGCAAAAGGAGGAGAAATCCATCCATTTCCTCCTCCGTTTCTCTTTAAGAATTTCTTTGCAAAATAATTTCCACATTTCATTCAGGAAGCCTGTTCCCTGCTTATGTGAGCTTTTTGCATGGGAGTAGACAAAACAGAAACCAAAACCTAACACCACGATGTTATCTTTAAATGAAAGCAAACAACAGAAGGAAAGAAGTGGCTTCTCCATGCCCACAGCTCACTGAGAGGCATCCAGTGCTTGGTGCTTGCTTCCTGTGCAGTGTTTCACCTCAGAATTTCTTAAGTCAAGGCTGGGACTGTTGTTTTTTTAAGGTGAGCCTGCCAAAGAGCATGCCCTCTCCCCACACACTTTCTGCTGGCCCTTCCTCCCTCAACTACTTCCCATGCTCCTTTTTTCTTCTAAGACAGACAAATGGATCTGTTTCAATATTAAATCAATTAAAAAAACAGGTTGTATTTTTACATCTTGCTAAAGAATGCATTTAATTTCAAGCTACTATTCCTTTCAGAAAACAAATATGTCTGCCTCTCAGCCTAGGCAAACGTACTGTGGTACTTAAAACCTATTTCTAGGTAGAGGAACTCAACAACTTCACAGTTAAAACCAGTGCATTTGGTTGTAAAATACATAAAATAGCCCAGAAAACATGTCTGAACAGAGGTATTTAACCTGTTCCCAACAAAAACCTTAGATCTGAAATAAATTTATTGTTGAGGAAATTACACCGTTTTCTGTGAACTTCACTGGCGGTTTTTGAAGACTTACCTTATAAAAAAAGTACTGTACAAGGGTTGCTATTCTAATATAGTAAAAGTGCCCATGAACAAAAAGCAACTTGGAGAGGAATTTAAACCGTGCTATTGCATAGTCACTGTTTCTTACAGCTTGTCTTCCTTCCTTGCCCATGATTCCTATAATATTTGGGAAACAAAATGGAAAACAGATTAAACATTATAAAAATTGAAGTTTTAAAAAACCAGAAACATACACCTGAAGCTACAGTTCTGTTTACCTGCACTTAAAGCAACTTCAACAACTTTCAGTTTCAAAAGGCAGCATTATTCCTGACACTTACAACTAAGGGAAACTGCTTGTTTGATGCTCATTCAATTAAAAACCAAACCAAACCAACCGCAACACTATTTCTGTAAGCTATGCTTAAGAGAAGATTTATGAAAAGACATATAAATAACAACACTCATATAAAACCAATTTTCCAAAACTAAGCAAATCATTATCAATCCATCATCAATTATCAATTTGTTTAGTATGTTTTACTTCAGAGAGGCTCTTCTTATACTACTTTCTGGGAATAATATATGACCTATGCTCAACAGTAAAATAAAATAAATGCTGTTCTTATAACAGCAGTTTACTTAATCTGATGGGCTAGCAATGCTTGCTACTGCTGAACACAAGTTCATTTCTGAAAACTATTATTAAGATTAGAACAAGCATACACACAGAACAAAATGCTCTTTTGCAGAAGAAAAGTGGCCCAGGATTCCTGAAAATGAGACACATAAGTGCTGATTGCTTTTCAAAAAAAGTAGTCTAAAGGTCCTGTCACCCCACAAAAGGCAAAGACTTGCTAGTTCCGACCAGTGTACACATCATGACTAATATTATAAAAATTACAATAAAAACTTGGATAATTTTATTTTTAATAAGTTTCAGTTAGTTGACAAAGTCACTGTAGAGTAAAGCATCAGTTGCTATTGGCCTGTAACCTTCTCAAGTAGGCTATACCCATGGTCTTAACAATCACAGCCACATGATTTACATGACAAATATTACATACACCTTTTTAATCACAAAGGGTGAAAGACTGAATATCCTGATGTATCAATATCTTAAGTAAGAACCTTCAACGTTTACTACTGTAATAAACACCATCCAAAGTCAGTAAAGGACAAGCCAAAACACTACGTGATAGGTACCAATTCAGTTGTATGTATACTTTGGTTTACACTCAGTTATGTAACACAGCAGAAAAAGAAGTTTGAATAAGGCCAGATAACAGAAAACAATATAAATGGAGAAAACTACCAATCTTAGCTGAAAAGCATTAAGTCTCTCGAGATACAATGAAAGCCTTCTCCTCAAAGACAAACTAGACACAAATGGCATTTCTACAGTTATACATACATAGTGCAAACTGCAGCAGTTTAGTGCAGAGAAGGGTTTAAAGGTCAAGTTTACACAGGAACTTAGAACCTGACAATGTCTGAAGTTAGAGATATCCACTTCCAATATCTGAAGCAGAACACTGCTGAGATTGTAGTTACAGAGCATCTTTGCTGTTCTTAAGGCAGCATTAAGAAGAACCTCAGACTACTGGTAGACTACATAATAAACTTAAGACTTCTGAAAGCAAACAGCCTTAAATTTTTAAATTTCACTAAAAGTCTGCTACAACAGGTGACTCAGACTAACACCCTGTCATTCAAAGGTGCAAAAAGATTGGAAGTTTAGCTGTTTATAAACACTAGTCATGATCAAATCATCACTAAAATTTCCATCTTTTTTGTCTTTATCTCTTCAGACAAAAGAAAGTTACCTATGCCAACATGTGCTTCTTGTATCATGCTCACATCATTAGCACCATCACCAATTGCTAATGTTATAGGTTTCTCTGGAGACGTTTTTAACAGTCGCACTACCTAGAAAAAAACAAACACGCAGAAATTTTTCAGATTAGATAGTCTACCTACAAACCATGCCACTAATTCCCAAGTATCTTTCTTGGTTACCTACCTGGAAATGTAATTAATATGTTTTATGAATGTGGATGATTGGGTAAAAAAAAATCTTTGGCATAACACACGCACAAGTTCACTGCTCCTTAAGAAAAACTGCTTGCTTTGGGGCACAAGCCTTATTTAAATGTTATGCCTGCCTTAAGCTTATTTGGCTGTTCTTATTTAGACAGTCTTTTACAACACTTAATTTGGTGCTTTATCATACGAAACAGTCAAGTAAAGGTTGAAACTGAAAATTTACTTCGGAAGTAACCCAGATTTAATGCCCCTTACTAGACATGCCCAAATTCTTCACATTTTCAATTAACAGAACTAATCAGTGTAAAAGAGGAATCTGAAAAAAAACCCACAATGTATTAGCTCAAAGGTCAATACATGCTGTTATTAAGGAAAATAGTTTCTTTTTAAAGCTTCGTTATCACCAATAGGTATTCGCAGCTGGAAAAATCACAGAAGAAGATATGACAAAGAGGAAAAAAAACTGTTTACATACAAGGCTCTAAAATACTCAAAAGAGCAGCAGTGACATCCTGCTCTTCACAGAAAGGAAACAGTTCTTCAAAGTAAGTGCCAACAATATTGTAAATAGAGAGAAGTGAGTTAGAGAACGCTTTTGGCTAAAGAGACTTAGTAATTCATTAACCTCCCAGAAAGCTCGAACTAAACTTAGAAGCTTCACTAATTCAGTTGTAAACAGGCTACAGAGGTAAAGGTGTGAATGCAGATCCAGAAGGCTTTCTAGAAACAAAAAATATTTTTCTGTGAAAAATATACTGCATTTTCTGCCACCGAGTTCCAGAAAACCCAAATTAGAAATATCAACAGAGCAACAACTGCGTCAGGTAAGTAGACACAAACAACTGTATTCAGATGGTGTGAGTTCCAGTTGGCCTTGTCAGTGCATTGATTGATAGGAGTGGTAACTCACTTCACAGGAGGAACACAAGAGTCATAAAATATAGGCCACAGTTCAGAGAAGTCCACCTGATTGTGTGAATACATTCCCTAATTGCAGGTATTAATAGTCAAGTTTAAAGGTTCCCCATTCCTAAAGGGTAATTATTTCAGGTACATTTAGCATTAGATCTTTGTAAGCAGCCTTAAAGAGGCAGCAAGGCTGCAACCCAGATCAGTCCTCTTAATTACCACAGTTTTAAGTATCTTAAGACAAACATCTACACTAAAAGGTCAAGGCAAATCCTCTGGCAAATTTTATCAATAGCAATCAGCAGCAACTCTGAATGACTAACATGAAAGATCTTTAAAAAGGTTTCCAAGCCACAAAACATACAAAAATAAGTACGAGACCACTAGCCATGTATTAACAAGCATTAAAGGAAAATATGCAGGAAACATTAAGCTGAGTTCCATCTTAACCTTGGAATAAACCCCTCAAAATGGGTGCCTACAGAAGAAAATCAAATGCAAGGCTAAACTGCCATGCACTTCCCTCCCATGTTTACAGCATTTGTCTTGGTGATTTATATACTTTAGCATTTAAAATTAAAAAGTCAATGCCTTCAAAATTAGGTTTTACTGTACTTCATGACAAAACACAGGAAATATTGGGTATTATCTGCTCGACAGGGTAAGAAGGAAAGCATTAATAGTTGCTATCTGCCAAATCTGGCAGTACAAAACACATTATAAATCAAGTTAAATGACAAAATATGAACAAGGACACAACATAAGCAAGTAACTACACATTACAGAGAGGGGATGGCAAAAATTTCAGCTAAAAGAGTGTGAACTGGACACGTTACCTTTGCTTTCTGAAGGGGTGCCATGCGACAGCACAACACTGCAGAACAGTTTTTGCAAACTTCCATGAATAGTTTTTCATGTTCCCTGAGTGCAAGAGAGAGGCTGGTCCCATCCACAACCAGTCCATGCTGGATAACATGGTCTTCCTTTATTCTATTCAGGGACAAAAATGTTGGCTTTGTATCAGCGTGATGACAAAATTTAAAATTTTGTTATGAACTACATGGTTGCCCATACAATAAACAAAGAAGTTAGCTTGTTAGCCAGACTGCTTCTTCAAGTCTGTTATTGTATTAATAAATATTTTTTTTAAAAAGGCAACTTCGTGTGTTTGGCACATACATCAAAGAGATCGTCATAAAATCTGAAAATAAAAGAAAACCAAGCTAAGATCATCACTGAAATAATGACATCTCAGATATTTTACCTCTTGGCTAGCTGCCTCAGTTGTTCTGCACATGTACTGTCTGACTTGTGTTGCACAAGCTCAAGGATGTTCATGGTTCTATGAAAGTGTCCACATGATAAACTGACACTAACAGCCGTTTCGTGCTTATCTCCAGTGAGTACCCACACTTTGATACCAGCCAACCTGAGTGCTTCTATAGTTTCTTGGACTTTCTCTTGCAGTCTAGAAACAAGAAAAATCATAAATAATCAACAATACTTTACAAAAAAAGGGCTTGCACTGTAACTCCATGTCACTCCTGTAACCCTATTATCATGATGATTTAAGACTGCATATAATTTCAGAAAATGAGTCTGGCAGATGATATTCTGTTACCAGCAATAAAAGGAAGGCCTTGATGAAACAAAACCTGAACTTCAATCTTACTAAGTGATCAAAAATTTGTAATAAGCATATCTTAATTTAAATTCGGCACTTGCTGCATTTGAGAAGCTTTAAAATAGTCGACAACAATTACTATCTACTGTGGTGCATGAAAAGCTTCTAAGTACTCCATCTGTGCACACCAGCGTACAATACACCCTCTTACAGAATACACAAGCAGAATGCTTTGTAAAGTAGCTATGTATAGAAGTTTTCCCAAGAAATTAGCCATTACCCTAAATATTTATGGCAATTTTTCTGTTTCACATACATTAAATCTCTCCTGATGAAGCACAGTGTACGTCATCGCTATTAAGCCAAAATCAGTTGGTCCAACATGTTTGAATGCTCCTCAATCCAAAGAGTGGTAAACATACTAAACAAGAATAGCACAGAACTTCTGGTCGTGGCAGGGGAGTTTTTCATATCACACATCATATTTTAGTTATAAATCCTAAACTCTCTATGTTTTTTGAGTGTAGTTAGCAGAAACTCCATTGCATACTTGTCTTCTACTCCTGTAGCCCCAAGTAATTCCAGATCCCTTTCTATGAAGTTGAATACATCTGCTAATCTTTCTTCCCGTTGTTGTAAGGCAGTCCTGGCCTCATGAAGGCGTTTGCCAATATCCTGATACTCCTCCGGCGTGAATCTTCTGTAGGCTACACACAAAGTTCTTAGTCCTTTCTGTGAGAAAATAAAAAACGACATTCAGAGTAGACAAGACTCTGATCTAACAAGAAGGCATCACTGGCAATTTGTTCAATTCATGTCACATAATTTGTACCGGAAGAATTTTCTTCTGATCAGCTGGGAAAGCATATATGCTTACCAAAGCAAATTCATCCACATGTATCCTTGTTTTGTCTATTTCTCCACTCTTACTACGTGGAAGAATGGAAGATTCGGCTCCCTTTGTGAATAAAAGCTTTTCCCCTAAAAAGTAAAATAGAACAGAAATTAAGAATACATATGATTTAAGAAGTTCTCAACTGCAGCCTGTGCAACTTCTGATCACTTACCTGAGGGGCTCTCTACAATGACACTCATTCGTCTGCGATTTGGATCAAACTCCAAAACATGAAGCAATTTATACCTGCATTTTGTGTTTTGAAGGAAGAGGGAAGGGGAAGAAAATGTTTTTAGAAATAAATTTCCAAAGACAACTACTTATAAATGTACTCTTAACCCACAGAGCTTTCCTTAAAGTGTCATTTCTATACAGAAACTCTAAAAGTAATGCTACCACTGTTGAGCAATAATCACACTTATCAGTATTTGTGCAGTCGATCGGTTTTCATCGCTTTATTCCTGCTGGTAGAAGAACCGTTTATTCTTATAGAATGGAATTAAATATAGATAGTTTCCTGAACACTAGCTTTGCATCTGGAGATTACATTCAGCTCCTACCTATTCCTTTATCCTTCTATCATTACTTCAAGTGTAACTTTGAAAACTACATTTTGTTTCTAACACTTGTAAACAATCTACACAGTCAAAAAAGAGTGTATGTTCCGTAATAACTGGACTATTTTTTGTTATGTTATTAGTAGTTTAGAGAATTATTTTTAGACATTGAAGTTTAAAGTACTACCAACTAACTGACACAGATCAAATGGATAAAAGGTGTTATGACATAACGCAGATATACAGTTATTAATAATATTTCTACTCATTTTGGGAAAGTTTAAGGTATGTAACTAGATTACGCATATATGAGACTAGTTCTGGGAACTTCTAGAGCTGAAAGCATGAACTGTGAGAGTTGAATAAGCAATCCAGTTTTCCAACTCTACTACAGTGTCAACCTCTGAGGAACGGGCAAGGATACAAACTGTTATAATACACACCTATACAGAGTAACTGACTCAAAATTCTTGCATCTCTGTTTCATTTGGTAAGGAATAAGATGCAAGCTGTCTTGAAGACATCAAGGGAAAACATTAAAAAGAGCACGCTGTGGAAAGGCAAGGTTTTCTAATGAACAGAGAGGATTAACAGGAGAACACTGTATTGATGTTCACTACTGTTCTGTCCTTCAAAAGAAACGAGGACTAAAAACTAATACCTTTCTGGTTTTCCGAGACTTTTTACTTCCATGCTGTCCCCACTAGTTCCAATAAATACTACTCCAACTCTAAAAGGAAAAGAAAATACACATTTAATCATCACTTTAGATATAATGCCTATTGATGAAGGGGGAGGGAAGGGATGAGAGAGGCAAGAGAGACTCTTATAACCCATTACTGTTCTCTATTTCTACAGGAAATTAAGAATGTCCACTTTCCACAATATTTTAATAGCAACATACTCTGCCCATTATAATTTCTCATGGATTTCCACAAATATTTTAAATTATCACTTTATAATATGCCTAGATTTTTGCGTATTTTATTTTTATATGTTCACAGTAAACTGACAGTGTCAGGCCCTGGTTTACAAGCTTTCTGAGCAATGTTTAAGGTTACTTCTACCATTAACGTCTTGCTCTAGTAGGCAATTTCTACATTAGATAGTTTTGGCGGTACAACTCACCGGCTTGCAGCTTCAACTAAAGCTTTCTCATCTGGTGAAGAAGCATAATACTCCAACGGGGATGCTACTCCACTGGCATGCCAGGGACCATCAGCATCATCTGTTTGATCTGCATTGATCTGCACTGTATGACAAAGACAAACTGCTTTCAAGAAGAGTTCTTCCTCTTTCATCTATAAGAAAGAAAAGACTTTATTTGTAACATTTACTTATGAACCCAGATTTGAACATACTTATTAAAAACATGTTTTTACTTAAAAATCTGCCAAGTATTACATGTTAAATAAACATATCTCAACATGTTTAATAAATCTTATTTGTTCAGTAACACTTAATAGCTTCACACTATTCAGAAATTCTGATTTAAAAAAAAAAAAACGTTAGTGCTAATTTCTCCGAAATAAAACACTTTCCATCTATAATGCCTAATGGAGAGGGAGAAGGTCTTACCAAACTGTGCCTATTTCCATCTGGAGAATCTTCAGAAAATCCCTCTGGAGTTAGTTTACCATTGACCTCTTGGTACTTTATGCCATTAATGGAGCACTCCCGAAACTGCATCTCATTTTCAGTTAACGTACCAGTTTTGTCTGTAAACACATACTCTACCTTTTGTAAAATAAAACAAAAAACAGACTTGGAGATGCACATATTTGGTAGAAGAAAAAAAAAAAATCTCAACTCACACTCTGCACTGTACACCTCGTTTTGATCATGTAAAGATTTTAATTTCTGCCATATTTATACCTTATTTTTAAATTAATCAGAAATCAAAGTGCAACCAATAAAAAGTCTATAGTAATGAATTTTAATATTAAAAAGTAGAAAATAGAAGGTAAAAAAAATAGAAAAGAAACAACGTATTTTTTACTCTACCTGTCCCAATTCCTCATTGAGATCTGAAGTATTTACTTGCGCTCTCTGGTTTGTTTCTTTGTGATAGAGGTCAAGATCCCAGCCAATAAAAAAAGATCCAAGAAATTTCTGCATCTCAACAGTCACATAGAGTGAAATAGGTATGATAAAATTGTAAAGTACTAGAAAAGCAAGAAAATCTGAAATAAATCTTAGAATCTGTAAGAGAAAAAGAAAAAATGTAAAGATTACTGTAGTGCTCAGATGAAACACGGTTACTTAGTTAAGTTTAAATATGCATGAAAAATGACAAATTGAAGAGAGTGACTATGAAAGTAGTCAACAGTTTGCAAAGCTAAATACTGTCTATTCTTCCTAATTATGGAGTGTTGCTACATTACTTAATAAAAATCAGCACCAATACTTAAGGTGTCCAACACAGGCTCAGGAAGTTCTGTGCCTTAAGAGATCTTTCAAACTAAACCAGAAAAGATAAATAAAGACTGATAGCAGTAATTCATGTAAGAAAAGATATACTGAGAAGACATGACAATTAGAGTCTTTTCAAGCACTATTAAATAACAACCTGCACAACACAGGACAGATGAACAGAGAAAGCACTGCAAGTAAGGATGTCAGCATACCAAGAAATGCAAAGCAGATTGTGCAAGTAGACAAGGGAGAGAGAAAAACAAAGACATGATAGAAGGAGAGTGACATGCAGAAACACAGATGGCTCTATATGCTCCTGAAGGCAAAGGTAAAGCAATGGAAAGACTGAGTAAATACTTATCCTGATTCTATTCGGAACTGAAAAGGCTCCACAGGCTAGTCTAAATTTCACAGCAACTACTTCAAATTAAAAGGAACCAAGAATTTATTTGACTGACCACCTCAAACAGTTGAAAGCACATTAAGTGGGTGCAGGTACTAAAAATAAAAGTCACTAAACAATTTGAAAACTTTTAAATTGATTTAATACTTTTCAACAGTTACACTTGGATAATATTATTTTAGAATACACTGAAGCTTTTGATAACTGTAGCGATAACCTGAATTAATAATTTTAAATAAAACACAGCATTGAGATAAAGGTATTTTTCTAGTTAAACCACAAAAACACTTCGCGTGACAAGCTTCTGAGAAAGTTGCATGTTCTGCTGAAGAGTCTGTAAACTCTTAACTCTCCTTGAATCAAAGACATTCTCAAATTAATTCTTTTTCCTTCCTGAACCACTATGTACCAACCATAAATTTAATTCTACTTGTGAAGCAGAACAGAACTCTCCTGTCTTGTGATTTGGACCTTTTCACACACGTGGCACCTAGTGAGCACATTCAATTCTCAACTCTCTGGGAGATGGAAAAAGCGGAGGGGGCTGTGAGTGTTAAACATCTGACACCACATCACATGTGGAAACTGGATTTCCAATTCTTCTGTGCTCTGAAAATCTCCTCTACTTCTTAGAATCAGTTTCAGCCAGCTCCTGAACTGCTCTGGAAGAAGGCAGACTCATACAAAAAAATCACAGAAAGAACACAGAAAAATACAGACTGATTAAAGAAAGACACTACTCAGAACTGCAGACTTAAGGAACACTTCAAAGTATCCCTCCAACCTCTACAGAAAAGTGAGAAGGCAAGCAGGAGCTTGAGCAAAATTACAGCCTTACAAAATTCTGTGAACAATTTTAACATCACAGAATGTCCAAAATGCCTGAACTGTGAAATCACTGCAATGGAACATGCACAAGAACAGCCATCCTCCTCCTCTTTTCATTTAAGAGATGACAAAAGACACCCAAAACAGAAATAACTATAACAGGAACACAGAACATCAGGAATATGTCCTAACAAAAAACAAAATTTTCAAAAAGCTTGGTCTTCTCATAAAGGAAGAAAAAGTCCAACCAGTAACAGGTAAGATATTTCTACACAAGGGTAAGGCTACATAGGACTAACTCTCTCAAAAATACTGAGACAACAGCACGCAGGCTTGCAAGTGGATCATGCGGTAGCTACACCTAAATTCAAGAACAGAGACATAAGAAATATCACATTGCGTATATAGTGGTTGAGGGTTCCTCAGATATGCAACTGTGTAGAACTATATTACCTTACTGCTGTTTCTTTCATGTTCTGTTTTTTCGTTATACCAAGGCTCATCCCATTTTTCTTCAGCTTGCCATGCATATTTTAAAATAGTGCTCAGAATGGCTTCAAATAGGAGGATTATTAGATAAATAATCAAAAAGGAATTCATGGACCTACAAAGAAGCAAAAAAGGCACAACTGCAGTTTATTTTACTTAATCTGTTGATACACTGTTGTTACATGAATTGATTAAATTCTTATTGGACAATTTTTTTTTAAATGTATCCCATGTTTGATATAAAGTTTCTATGTGACAAGCAAGAAAAGTGAAAATAAATCCTACATCTGACTATATACTCTACATATAGCAGTATGAAGACTAGATTAAGGTGCAAGAATACCCCAACAGCTGGCATGTGTCACGCCTGCTGTCCAAGATTCTGGGGGCTGACTTACCCTTCTCTTCTTCCCTGAGTATCTAGCAAGGCTCTGAACGCAGTACAACCAACCACAGTGGAAATCCAAGGCTGCACCTTTTCCTTCAGTTAGAAGAGCACTACCATGTGCATCTGATTATTTAACCCAAGCCACACTACACCAGGATACAGTCAAACTTGCCTCTATATTCCGTAATGCTAGCTAGACCACCTTTCCACCCCTTGCTTTGATGACTGAATTCTTGTGCACTCTTCAGTTTAGTTTCTATCTGGCTATAGAAGAAAAATCAGTCCCATGTTTCCAAAAGAATGCTGGGAGGCTGCCTCAGATTTTTAGTAACTGGAATAAAAGCAACATATCAGAACCCCTTTTCTTTTTAAAATAATTACTGAGGTTCAACATATAAATCTCTATTATAGTAACATCTATCCTGTAACTACAAGCAAGTATTTTTAAAACTGAGCCTGCAACTTGTGCTAGAAACAAGATTCATTGCAAAACATACCTGGATGGGCTATATCCTTCAGACTATGTGAAACAAAGCTATTTTCCATTCTATCAAATATTACAATTCAGGAGAAAAATTTGTAAGAGATTAAGACTTCATTTTGATCCATCCTCTTTAAAGGCACAATGCAGTTATTCAGTAAAAGATGCAGAGAATAGCAGAGGCTGGGACTGTTGTGAAAACTCTCTCTGAGCATCTGGTTCAAGCAACATTTCACCTATCATTAAATGATTTCCACAGCTCAAAAAGAAACTTCCCAAAATAACTTTCTGCTTTAGTCCTTTTTAAGCTCAGATATTTCAACTTTGTACACCACTGAAAGAATCACTAAAGGACAAAATACCAAGAAATGGATTTTATTTTCATAGCTTCCTACTGAAGGCAAAGCAATTACACTTTCTTCCCTAGACTATAACCCAATGACAAGATCATCAGGGTTTTAAAGTTACCAAGAAAAAACTAAGTTAAAACTCTACAAATAAGAAAGATATTAGAAAATAAACATACTTTTCTACTGCTGACCGTTTCTGAGATTTACTCTTGTAATTTAATGCCATCTTTGTCTCCATACCTGTATACACCGCAACACCTGGGAAGGAAGGGGAGGGGGCAGAAAGAGTTATACTTTATTTTCTGAATATATACAATTTGCAGTATTTTTCATTTTAAGAGGTAGAGGTAATATTAGTTTTGTGTTTACCTCAGTACAATGGTGAGATAGCATTTTTGAATTATTTGCAATTTGCTGATATAGTAAAACAGTACTACTGAAATAATTTTAACATCTACTAAACTGCTGCTCATTATTATGACTGTACTGCTCTGTATTTTATGGAAATCAGAATGGTAAATCTCAGGAGAAAGTTTTTGAACAACAGGTAACAGTAACAACAGTCATTTATCCATTGAAATCAAGTTATTCCTTTATCAAACCACTTCAAATATTTTCAGAGAGGAGCTGGAATTTTATATCCTTAGAGATTCTTCAGCATAAAAGCATTACTTTAATCTATAATCATATCCCCCCAGGTAACAGTCAGTAAGATTATTATAATTTCTTCAGTGCAAGTAGAATTAAACCACAGTTCATTAACATGCTTTAAGAAGAGAATACTCTTTAAATATTTAGATGTCTACAAACCAAATATTTCTTTAGTGTTTTTTAATCTTGCTCCACGAAGTAATAGACTTTCAGGTCCAAGAGGTCTAAAAAGAAATAGATATATCAGCATTTAAAAATCAGTTGGTCTGTATTCTGTAGGACTAGTGAAATCCAGTTTCCTATGCAAAGTTGTCCTATATCCCCTATGAATTCCCACTGCGAAAACTCCAACACCACCCTCATTTAGGTCCATCTTCAATCCTCTAACCCCTTGTACCCACCTCGCCCACAGACCTCCACAGAGCTCTGGGTTTTCTTTCATGACTGCTCTGGTCACTGCCATACTCTCCCACTACTGATCAATATCCCATAATTAGTGATTGATCTAAATAAACAAAATGGCTAGTTCAGAGAGACCTGCAAGCTACTTGAGAAGCCAGCAGGCAAAAAATCCTGTTGAGCTCACAGTGCAACACAAGTGCTGTTTTAGGTTTGACTATCTTACCTATCTTACTTCTACCCTTCTGTGAAACTGAAATGATCTCGCAAGTTCAAAAGCTATTCATACCAGAGAAAAGACAAACAACTAGATGGACACATGTCACCGTTTCAGCTCAGAGGGCAACTGAGCACCACACAGCCACTCACTCTCTCCTTCCCCCCAGCGATGACAAGGAGAAAATAAGACAGGCTTGGGATTTGAGATAGGACAGGGGGGGCCAAATCACCTATTATGCTCATGGGCAAAAGGCAGTCTCATTAGGGGAAGAAAAAAAGAACACAGATTTATTACAGACACTAACAACAACACTTAACAGAGTAGGACAGTGACATGCATTACCACATCTTGAGAACACCTTCCCCCCACCCTTCCCTTCTTCCCAGGCTCCCTCAGCTTTGTTCCTGATATCTCTACCTCCTCCCCACAGTGGTGCAGGGGCAGGGAATGGGAGGTGCAATCAATGCTGCCGCTTCTTCCACCTTTGATGGGGGGGAACTTCTTCCCCCTGCTCCAGTATGGTTCCCCTCTCACAAGAGACAGTCCTCCACAAACTTTCTCCGACACGAGTCCCTCCCATGGCCCACAGCATTTCCCTAGCTGCTCCAGTGTGGGACATCAACTTTCTCCAATTGGAGCCCTTCCCACGGGCTGCAGCCCTTCTTGAGCTGCTCCAGTGTGGGACACCCTTGCATGCTGCAACCGTCCCAGCACCGAACCACAAAAGCAGGGGCTGCTTCTTCCCACAGGGTCCTGATCTCCTTCAGGCGCAGCCACCTTAAATGGCTGTATGAGGCCCCTCACGGGCCATAAATCAGTGTCCGCTCCACCACAGACCTTCATGGGTGGAGGAGGAAGCAGGGAGAACATCTGCCCTGTCATCTCACCACAGGATACAGGGGGGTCTCTGCTCCAGCACACCTCCCCCCTCCTTTCTTCCTCCACTCCTCAAATGACCTTGATGCCCATGCAGCTGCCACAACTGCTCCTCACAAGTCCGACTCCTCCTCATCAGGTCCCTTCTTAAATATGTCATCGCAGAGGCGCAGCTGACTGGTTTGGCCTTGGTGCAGAGGTGGGGCTGACTTGGAGCCAGGGGAGCTTCAAGAAGCTTCTCACAGGGGCTCTCCCCTGCTACCAAAAAAAGTACTACTCCACTCACTCAAACCCAGGACACACAGCACCACCACAACAGTGCAAGCTCTGCTTCCTAACACAAGACCAAAATTTCATATATTTTCCTCACATCTATCACACCACAATGATACATTAATTTCATAGGCTGTTAACTGTAAACAGCGCTGTGAAAATAAAGGTCCAGTTAGAGTTAAAGTTCATGTAAGATTAGAGCTGTATGTTCTACTCCAACATCTGTATCATCCTTAGAAACTGCCAGCTGGGTTGGTTTGAAATTAAAAACAGTGAAAGCACCTTTTATTTATTTATTTATTTGTTCATTTATTTATTTTTGCCAGTGTTTCAAATGAAAACAGAAATTGAACAACTGCAGTGGCCAGGTTGACATACTGGGTATGAGCAAAAGAACTGAAGGTCATATACTAAGTGCTACGGCATATAAGCCCTTGCACGTGTCTTTCATTTCCATTAGCTGTACCACAGGTAGTCCATCATCACTATTATATAAACAAACCTCTCATACTTGAAGTTGCTTTGAAAGCATAACCTGGAGTTATTAACAAAAAAAAAAAAAAAAAAAAACAAAAACAAAAAAACAAGCCCCACCTCCCACAGTTAAATATTTAACTTAAATGTTACTGCAAATGTGACAGTTACCATCACAGATACCATGTGCACCAATTACACACACAGGTTCTTTAAATTTCACATACATATATTAATATTTTAGGCTACACTTAAACTTTACCTGAAAAATTGAACTAAAAGGGCCTAAATGCTCAAGCATTTAACCTTTTCATATAAGAAACCCAATGTGTATTTCTGGATTCTAGTATTTTTTTGCAGTTTGTAAAAACCAGTCTGACAAACCCAAAATACAAAACCCCAACCAGTGCAACACAGACTAGACAAGTTTATCTGTCAGAAGATACAACCCCACCAGTAGTCAGAACTTACATCTACTTTTCACAGTCCTTTTAAACTGGCTTTGTTATATGTTGTCAACTAAATTATTTTGATAGATTATCCCAAAGCTGAACCTGTCAAGCTTGGCAGTAGTGAATTCTGAAAAGCTCTAAGTGAAGTAACACATAAAGCAACCCTAGAAAGCAGCTGAGTGGATTTGGGGCCCTGGGACGGTTTGACAGGAGGGCTAAGGCATTGGACTTGGGGTCAAGTAATCTGCCTTCTACATTCCCATATTTCTTGCAAAACCATTAAAAATTCGTTGGTTCACTCTGAACTCCATGTTACTCCTCTCTAAAACTGACAGATGTTTGCCAGACTCATAGGAGGCTCTCTGACTGAGAGTCTTTCAGTTCTTCTTTCTGACTGATTCAGGTAGAAATTTCACAAAAAAAAAGTGTAAAGGATAACATTTTGGACAGAAGAGTAGTGAAAGAATCGTAGCAGATTTACCTGTTTCTGTGACACATTTATACATCATAACACAGCATTACGCATTCTAAGAAGAGGTAACCAAGTTTTTTTGAAAGCTTGATTATCAACAACTCTCAAAAGAAAACGACTTGCATGCTAAATATTCTTGAAAATCTGGCCATTTATTACAAATGATTTCCCTGTATTTCAAAACATGACCTTTTTCTCATTCCTGTTCTTCCTATTTTCTCTTATGTCCTGCTGTGGTGGCGGGAAGAGCTGTGTGCATGCCTAGCTGCTAGCTGGAGCCAACCCATCGCAATTAGCAATCTTCTGAAAAAAATCTACATGTAGGTCTGTAAGTAGCTTCACTTCATTTTTGTATTTTCGCATGTGTTTAGGTGTATGCTACTTGCTATGACTGCACAGGGGAAGGTTGTGAGCACATGATTATGTGCATATAGCTTTATGTGCACACAATTACATGTTGACTATTACAGATGTAAGCACTTAACTTTACAGTCCAGGTAGTACAGTAGTTTGAAATTTATACTAAAAGCTACAAATCTGTAGCAGAGGCTTTGTTAACACAGACCAATAATTTCTAGGAATTCTAACTGCAAACAACACCTGTTCAGTGCCTCCGATAAACAGATGACAGGGAATCTGTTGTACTCTACATAATATGCCACTGGAAAAACGTTTTAAATAACAAATAGCAACAAAGTACCAGCTGATTACCAGTACTTTAAAATTACCTCCCTTCAGAACAGCCAAGCTCTCCAGAATTGTCTTATTAAATCTGAAAAACTGGGTAGTAATGAAATTTCTTTCATTAATTTTTTCTCCTGTCCATCTGAAGTATATAGCTACACTTGACACTTTCAGTAAAAATACCCCTCCCTTTCGTATATTCAACAATAACCCTTTTTTGTGGTCATGATTTTAACAACCTCCACGAGTTCTAAACATTAATCTAATAAAATTTTACTTACCGTACAATTTCTTCAGTTTGTTGACTTATAGTAATTCGTCCAACAAATCTATGAAAGATGACCACGTGTTAGAAATATCTACATAAAGACTGAAAAAAGTAAAAAACTCCTCTGTATTTATAGAAGAGTAATTAACAATTCACAAGTACAAAATAATCAACTTTCTTTAACAATCAAACTAGAACAATATAGCAACACTAACAATAATTTTACAAGAGATGTATAACAACAGAAACTTTTATCCTTTAAAAAACAGTCATTTGAGAAAGCCTATTAGGTTTCATTAATAAAACCACAAAAGATTGTATTTCTTAGTTAAAACATTGTGACTTCTTCATGTTTCAGTAAGAAATAATTCCAACAAATACACATTAGCATAGTATCCATCAGAAACAGTAATTTTCACTTAATAGAGCCAATATACTCTGCTTTTAAAATCTGACACTTGCATATTTAACATAACCCTAGATACAAATAGGAACATAAACTTCTATAGTAATTGTATCTTAACTTGATGTTCTCTACAAACTGAGCTAAAGATCAAATATTTGAACAGCTGTTCAAACCAAGTATCTTAGTTTTTAAGAATCTAATATTTCACAAAGATCCCAAATTTTACTTAAGAATAGCTGCTGCGATATACTTGGATTTTGAGAACTACTACTTGACACCTACCATTTTCCATTATACAACTCAGGAGAAATCTGGATGGGAATATAACTTTTGTTACCAATGATGCTGTTTTACAGAGTCTAGGGCATTGCTCGCTGATGTTAAAAGCTGAAATGAAGCACACTCAGATACCACTGGTTTTAATCTAAATTTTGGCTATTGAAGAATGGCGTTCAAATCTTCGCTGGAGCATAAGCAAAATGAATATGACCAACACATATCCTTAGAATCAACATAAGCTTACAACAATTTGCTATGGTTTAAGTAATTCCATTTTTAAAAAAAACCAACTACATAGTATTGAAATCTGGTAGAACCTGTACAACTCTTTCTCCAACCTGCTCAGACTCACAGGCCATTTAATTTTTTAAAATCTGGAAACAAGTTAACTGGTTAGAACAGAAATATCACCTGATTAAAATGCAAAACTTGTCACTAGCAACTTTCAGTAATTACATACATATAAACACACTAAGTATTAAAACCTGAAATTTAAGCAGATGTCTGAAGCTATTATAATCCCAGCAAGACCCATAACATTATTAAACACCTCATTTTGATTTAATTTCAAAATATTTACTAATAAAGTGATACCTGTATAGATCTGCTTCTGGCTGCTGACATTCTATAACTGCTACAAGTTTGTCCAGGTTGGCAACGGACTGTAACACTGCTGTTTCTGGGACTGCAACATGTGTCTGTAAAACAGTGTCCATTAAGTTAATGATACAGGACTACCGGGCAGGGAAGGTACTCCAACAGGGTGAAATAAAAAAGGCATTGTAAATGAACTACACTCTATTTCATAACAGTAACTCAAACCTTAAGATTGGTCTCTCCATCCAAACTTGCCGTAGTAACATGGCATGAACCGTCGGCTCGATCAGATGACAGAAGCACCAGATCAACAGGAAAAGTCTCATCTTTGGCTACTCTGACAATGTCCCCCACCTAATGAAGTAAACACAAATGAAAAGTGTACAAATCGAGTTTTAAAAGAGAAGAATTAATTTCAGCATTGTTACTGAGTCACGCTGAAACAGGCCACAACGATTAGTAATGAAACAAGAGCTTTAGCTATTTAATAGAAACACAATTTTCAATTTCTCCTTCGCCACATACCCGAATGTTTTTAGATCTAGTTTTTACAAGGCCACCACTTCGAACAACATAAACTGGAGCACCGTTTACTTCATTGTCTGCTTTATGTCGTAGCCAGTCTTCATAACCCTGTGGAAAACACATACACATTTACCTTTTAAGCAAGAAACCTGTAAAACATAACAAATATCTTCTAAGCAAATGTGCTTCAAATTAGTTGCTGCATAGCCCAAATATAGTTACTAACTTCTCTTGAGTTTCCACCACAGATGTTACTCAAGAATCTGGGAAACCTCTTCATTTTCACCCACTTCACACCAATAAAGAGAAATAAAGGAGAAAAAGTGGTGAAGAAACTTAACAGTCCCGTGTTCTGCTAAAACAAACAGGCAGTGACATTTCCTGCAGACCAGCTGAACAAGCATTCATTCAATCTTTTCTCTACATGGGTTAATATACCACAAAATTGTGACTACTCTCTCCTTTGGTTTCTTTTTGTTTGGTTGTTTTTTTTTTGTTTAAGAGAAGTATCAGACTGAAATTACTTCCTCATGTCATACCATATAGCACTTCCTATAGTTACTGCCATAGTTTATGCATGAAATACTAAGATTTCTTAATTTTGTATGACACGCTGTTCACACATCAGATCTGTATGGCAAGAGATGACTGAGAAGGTTTTAGTTCTTTGTGAGTCCTAATGCAACAGTTCACAGCAACTGAGTTTTTATTAGACAAATTAGGCAGTTTTCCTTTACATGATAATCGATACCTCTTTAAGCATCCTTTATCCCATGTACACACATGTGCAAACATTCATGAAGGTGAATCTAGGTATATTATTCCTCTCCTGTTTTCCTAAACTATTAATACATTGCTTATTTAATCTAATAGCATGATTGTCAATAGCATGATCTCTGATCTCCAAGTGTAAGTACTATTTGGAAGGCCCCACGAGCAAGCACAAGAAATGGATCACTCTATGCAGGAAGTTCAAGTGTCTCTAACATCCTGGCAAGACTCCTACAACTGAGTAGAAGTAAGAGAGACATTTCCTAAAATGCTTTTCTATAGGTATAACGAACGTGAAAGAGTTAAAACCACTTCCTTGAAAGTTTGCAGGCAGGAGAAAGGGCCCCTCTGAAATAGCAGGCACAATCCCAACGCATCCTAGAACGTTACAAACGTTATATGTGATTGTCATAATACAAAGACTACTAATGCAGATGCAGTTTGGAGAATTCTGTGGTTGATTGGACTTTGGACGAAAGTTGTATGACGATTTTAGCATGTTAATAGTATAGTTTTGCAATTCTACCTCCATGCACCTCCACTTTACTAGCACAAATGTATAAGGACAGCACAACTACACTACAAGAAATAGAAAAACGGAAATAAAAAAAAGGCAAAATATGGAAGCTTTATATGCCAAGTGCTTAAAAAGAAATAATTAAGAAGTGTACAGTAACAGCAGCCATACAAAGAGATATCGGGAAATCAGAATCCTAAAAGCCCTAACTCCTTCCTAATCTGTATGAAAAAGGAAGAGTCAGTACCTACAGATCCTTGTTAAAGGTGACTGACAGAAGAAAACAAGGATATAACTAACATCCAGTAACCTTGGGGCATTTGTCTCATAAACCTGAACAGCTGAGCAATATGGGCATTTGGCAAAGTACTGAAATTTACCTTTTTTAGAAAGTACAGATTTCAGCGCTTTCTCCAGCTGACACCTATTGCCTACAACACAAGGGTGACATCTCACACCAGGGAATTCTTAAGAGCCAAATTACTGTGGTCAGTTTAAATTTCCCCAAAATTTACCTACTGTAACATTTTTGAGACCGTTCCTTATCCTTACTTGCAAATATTGCAAAAATACAAATATTGCAAAAGATGCAATAGGAATACAGGGAATGTTGCTTAATCGAATGAACAGAAACTAGATGAAAATCCCTCAAATTATATTCTATAGTCATGCTTAAGTAACTGCATCAATATACTTGAGAAAAGGACAAAATTAAAAAAGGCCTGCATATCACGTTACTAGGTTTTTCATTCTCAGTTTAAGTCTATATTTAATTGAAACCTGCAAAATAGATGCTTCTAATTTACCTGACAGTCATGTAAACATCTGTATTCAATCAGCTTGTTTGCTAAGTACCTATGAACTTACTGAAATGGACTCAGTTCCCCAGAGTTCCTTAGGAACTACTCCTATTTTGTTGTATTTTGATTTGGGTTCTTGTAACTTTAATTTTTATTTTATTTTCATTTTATTTTCTAATTTTGGACTCCTCTGATGACTGCATACAGATCTTCACAGGCATAAGGAGGAAAGCGCTCTGGCTAACAAGATAGACAAAATGACACAGCTTAAGTTGCATCACTTTGCAGTCTTGCATGTCCTTCTTCTGACCTAGGTGCAATTACACTTCCAAGAAGAAAAAGTTCTATCTTCTTGGCTGAGATTAAAATAAAGCTGAGTTTTGAGGTTTGCTAGAGGTGCCATGTTAACTGGCCTTCTGGAAGCAGGGGAATTTTTCTACACACTGCTAAGCTTCTCAAACCCACATATGGTCAATGCTTCTATTTTGCCTCTTCATCTTTAGAGAAACTACTTAGTCATAGTTTTACATTTATTCTAATAAACTTTGTATAAAACCAGTGCCCCACTGCTTCCAAAAGGGGTTTCTTCCCCTAAAATCTGCTTCCTATTCCACTTCTGCTTTGACGGAAAATGGAAGTTGGTTTTGAGACCATACTGGTTATTTTCCTCTCTGCATTCCAACTGAAGATTCATCTTTCTTCCTTGTCCAAGGGCAGCCTGTTGGAAATAGCACACTGAATTGTCTTTCCAAGATAACAGCTTGTGAATACTGTTTGCCTACTTTGCAGCTGGTAGGATAAATATGTGAGTCCATTAGATCGGTTTAAGTGGTTCCAATAGTCCTTGCAGAGACATCAAGACAGTCAGAAAAACTTATTAATGACTTTTCAGGCAACAAGATTTGAAACTTCTAGAAGGAATGACAGAATCTATATTCTTTGCATTTGATAGTAAGATACTTAAATTTCCCAATATAAGACTGGACATCTGGAAACAGGATAGTAATAGATTGTTTTGGACTATTTTGGACTTATACAAGTCCAACTTCTTTCTGGAAAAAATCTACTGTTTATAACTAAATTGCACAATCTCTTTCAGTTCACACAGCTTCAAGGGACATTTTCCATTGCCTACTTATGACTATAGCTCTTGAACATGTGATTTTTAGAGGTGATGATAACAGTTGCAATTGGATTAGGGCACTCTACCTATACAAATTGCACAGCAACAAGATGAAATGTTAGTTCAAGTATTACTCCAGCATTTACATCCCCTCTGCCCCAAACACCGTTCTATCTGTTTGGAAGCTAGAGATATTTTTACTTTTGCCCTATTTCAGGGTGGCTTTGGGTCTTACTGGTACGGAAGGCAAATTGAAATTCCAGTTGTAGCTCCATAAGTCTCCCGCTTACTTTTCAGTTGATATGACTGCACCTCTTCCCCAGAGAGCACTGGCAAGCTCTTTGAAGGAGATAGTTTCTGAGAATTACCTCCCTGCAGAAGAGATTATAGCTTCTATCCACATCACCTCTTTATTTATGTGTTTGTTTCCTTCTCCTTTTTTTTTTTTTTTCCTCTTTAAACCCTTAAAACAAGAAAAAAATCTTCTGTTCGTGTCTGAAGTTTTTAAAAATTCTTCTTCCAGGGGCTTTAGATCTTAGTAGAATGTAGTATGATGTTTGAACAAGATTTCTATTAAACTCAGAAGATTTGTCTTAGTTCAAGCGCTATGAAGCACTCAAAAACGGTTTATGCAACCAAAGAAAAAGAAAGCAAAACCAGAAGCTTTCTCAACTGGACCTTTTACCTGGTACAGAATTACAGTTAATACATATTTTATGGCATGAAACATACTCCTCGGGGCAAAATTTGCCTTTTAACTACCAACAAACATGGATTGCACCATTGCTTCACTTACCTAAGCTCCTTTCTCAGGATGTCATATGAGAGGACTGGCTTTAATATGCAGCGAGGTGTGCCAAAGAAATAAGTGAGGAGCTTTCAGGAAAGGTCTCATAACAAGTGACATGCAATGTTTAGACAAAAATGCTGTCTGACAGTCATTCACTGTCCATTTAAAGGTACTGCAGTGAGTCACTGAGCACTTGACAACTAACCAAAATGCTCAAGTCCAAGCATCTAACAAGAAACATTAAATACAAAATCCTTTCTAAAAATGGCACCTTTTTTATTTTTTGTATATAAACATTATCTTGGTCAGCCTTTGTTACTTAACTTTACCCTAGAAAGACTTCATGCTACAAGATTTCTCCCCTTTACCTGTTTTATGGCTGTCACAGTTATGACAAAGAATAATGGCAATCCACTGGTAATAGGACTAGTAGGGGTATCTATCATGAGCTAAAAGAGAAAAAAATATGACAATTAGGACCAATTTTATTTTTGCAATTGTACCTTCCAAAAAAAAAAAACAACAAAACAAGATGACAACTACTTTCCAAACTCCTCATTATAGCACACCAATATTTTTATTGCACCTTTTGCAGGATTTCTGAAGCAAAACTCAGTTCCTGGCACCTAAATAATACATGTCAATAATGACGCAAAGAAAGGTCCTAGGGCACAGAACAGACAATCATATTTGTAATGCATGTACCAATTTTAAGAGTCCTTATTAAGAGAAAAACATGTTTTCATCCTACAAAGATTAATTCAAAAGTATATTACAAAGGAAAAAAATAGACATTTCATTAAGTTGTTTCAATACTTTATATGATCTGCTGCTTAACAGCAATATAGGGTATAGCAACATCCACTTCAGAAGTGAAAATGAAGTTAAAAATTTTAATTTCCAACAGTTTAGATATTAGAGAACACTCTTTCTTAGGATGCTCCTTTCTGGTTCCCCCAAGTTAACATGCAGTTTTTACAACGTGTGCTATTATTGCTGGCATGCCAAAAGTGCAGTGTATACACTACAATTCTGTATGTGGGGAGCATGTTAGTGCTTCTCCTCTGCTGCAGAAAAAAACCCAACATGGTCAAGTGCTGTAAAGAAAATACACACAAGAACTATTCAAAACCACATACATTGATTTGATCCATTTTACCTGAGACTTATGGAATTGCTTTGGGAACCATTAAAGAAGAAGAAGAAAAAAAATCATAGATGAGGTTTACTCTGTTAGGAGCCAAGAACCTCATAGAGAAACAGATTATGCCACTTTACAACATATACATGAGCTTTTATTTTTTTTCCACTGAAACACAATTTATAGAACACAACAAAAATCAGATCTAGTTTGCAATTTTGTCTGTTTTTCATCTGTAGCACTGCAATTTCAGCTTGTCAGCATGTTGTCCAGGAAAACCCATGCCAAAAGCATCTGACTTCTGGCTGGATAGGGCTAACCACGACACTTCTGCCATCTACACTCTCTCCTCCTTTCTCAAGAGAGTCATATGTGAAAATAGAGCAAATTATGTGCTGGTGGAATTGTCACACCAGCCTGCTCCTTTCTTCTCTTTCAGTGGAACACCATGGCCCTTTGCCTGCTACACAGCTGGACACGCATCCATCACAAAACCGGTGCAGAGCCCCATGCGACCAAAATGCAGTCTGTCACCACGTTTCTGGCATGCATGTGTCTGGTGAACAATACGGACTGGACTGTGCTGCATGTTCAAATCACACAATGAGAACTTGCCCCAGCTCTGTCATCCCCAGTGGAATAAGATGGTAATGACAGACACTGCATCTTGGTCACATGAGATTCATATGACAGAGAAGATACCATGGTGATCAACTTTTAAAGGCACCTTTGCCTAATAAAAAGAAAAAAACACATTAGATATTAATGAACTTCCAAATGGGATTTGAATAAAACCAGAATTTCATTCTAGCAAATGAACAAAAATGACTGTAGCTTTTCTCTTGTTCTGTTTCCAAGAACACAGACATAGAGACAAGACATTTCCTGTACAAATTAGGGTATCCACTTGAGTCACAAACTGAGAGAACGACAGGATTACACTCTGCCTTTAGATCTGTGTTTGTTCATGGACATCACAATTAGGTATTACTGAAGTCTAACAGTTTGAAAGGAGTGTGACTCAAAATTGAACACCTAAATTTGCATTAAAAAGAAACAAAAGCATTAAAAGTGCAACACTGCCTGTGGCTATTTTAAGTAACATTTATGTTCCATTTCTTACATGTCCCCTTCTTTCTCATGCTACAGTATGTTAAACAGCATGAAACATCATAACAGGAATGACAAAGTCAATATTCTTAACTAGGAAGGTGGGATGGGCAATGCATTCTGTAGACTAAGTTAGAACTGTAAGACTTTAGTAACACCCAACACAGGAATTTTCAGCTTATTAGAAAGTTCATGCTTTCTAAATGTGAAAGAACAAGAGCAAGGGACACAGGAGGCAATGGATTAAAATTGCATAACTGACCGTGCTACTGACATCTTGCACAATTACAGACAAATTTTATGAACTCTTTACTATTCCTGTTTTTTTGTCAAGTGAGGTACCATCTTTTTCAGATGTATGCTGTAAATGTTGTTTAATCACTGGAGGGCTGTACATGTTCAAAGCATTCTATTTTATCATGAAAGAAAAGTTTGTGTACCCCAAAATCTTGTATCTGTCTCAGATATTAACTGGTCTTTTAAAAGTTATTAACTCTCCTTACAACCTTCCTTCCACTTTTGCTTCATCTACAACAGCACTAAATGTTGTCTTCAAAACTGACAAACTTTTAATCCTAGCTGCAAATTTTTCTGTTTTCATTTTAACAGAACAAATTAAATTTGAGGATCTTAGAACTGTGTGACAATAGAATGTTGATTTACAAAAGTAGGATTCCACCTACAATGAAAATACACACTAATCTATGCTCTGCTCAAGAGCAAGTGTACTGCCCAATTTGATGCAAGTGAACTTGAACGTCTGTATTTCTGCACACTAGTGTCCAAGAAGCACCTAAAAACCACACAGAGTAAAAGTCCTGGTTTATCCAAACACCACCAATGTCCACAAAAATCAAAAAGCCTATCTGGAATTTTATTACTAACTTAACAGATTTAAAATTCTATTTGGAAGCAGATAATTGAGTCCTTGCGCTGGCAGTGCAATGGACTTTGAAGCTGTACACTTAAATATACCAGCATTCATGAAGATAAAACCTAAGGACAGTACGTAAATTTGGACATAATTCTTTTTAAAGTTATGTTATTTTCTCAGAGAAACTGGAAACATCATGTTTTTATAGACAGAATATGTAAGTAGGGAAGTTAAATTAATAGAACAAAAAACAGTGTCAGAATTTACAACATAAATTGCAATTTCTTGACTATTATTCAACTTACCTGAACCAAAAATATAATCAGAAAATAAAAGTTGGCTACTCTTCTGAACTGCTCAAATAAGTTTTTTGGAACAAAATTCCACACTGTATACTGAAAAAAGGGAGAGAGAGAGAGAGAGCCACCATTATGACATACTGAATAATTTTTCAGTAAAAGCCAGTTCCATTCCCACTGAACTCTCTTAACCTAAATATTTTTATTTTCCATCTCCTCTCCCCCAAACCTTCTTCTGATCTTGCCCTATTCCCACACAGACCTGCTGTATCCAATTTATATTTATTTATTTTTAAGTACACCTAGCAGGAAAGCAGGGATAGCAACTGCATTGCCTTTACAGTTGAAGTTTTAAATGGTCTCCTATCAAGTGGGACAGGAGCAGCTGGAGTCATTTGGCTGCTTGCATCCTGGGCAGCAGAGAAGAAATTAATTCTTGCAGCTGTAACTTTCTCTCCTACACTACAGCAGTAAGACACATCCCCACCATCAGTTCTATTGATTCCAATCCAAGGTCACAGTAGGAGGGAATCTGCAATTGCACTCCACTGCTGATTTATTTTATGCAGAGTACTAGTTTACAATTTGGCTGTTTTATAAATCATCACAACCCATTTCATCCTTCTTTTAAAGTGGTTCCGTGTATCACATCCAGGCATGAGCAATGCTGGTTTAAAACCTACTAGTCTTCAGAAATTCTGACCAAGACGCTTAATTGTTCTGCACTTAGTCATGTTCTGAGGAAAGAGGGATGAGACAAGGAGAAAAGCTATACAGGAAACAACCTAGCTTTTTCATCAAAGAATTTTAGAGCTTGTTTCATTTTGAATGCTGTACATGCACCTTTAGACATAATACATACATGCATATTTCCTACAAAAACTAAGTAACATATCAAGTGGTTTTGCCATGACAAACTGATTCCCTACCTTGGATGATATGATTCTGTTGTCCGCAAACTTCTGAGGAACATAATGCCCATGCTGGGGAAAACGATTTGCTATATAAATAGTTCTTGTATCACTTTGATGCGGTGGGTCAAAACCCTAAAACACAAAATAAAAGATGATCAAGAAAGACTATTTTATTAACTGTAGTTTTGTAAAACTTATCTTTGTGCTGAAAAGTGACATCCAGGTATCAAGCAGCAGTTTCGGAATAGTGGCTTTTGAATGGGAAACAAAATTAACATGTAAATTAAAGTCTGTTGTGTCCAGAGAATTTTCAAAAATTGGGGAGGAAATGGAGAAAATCTCTATTGAGGTTGCGTACTGATTCTGGAAAATGAAAGAAAAAATCCTAAGTCTCAAAAAGTGTAAGAGAATACTTGCTATCATGCAAACTTGAAGAAACAAATGGATCCGAAAACATATATAGATTACAAAACCTCATAGCCATGCTCATGATGACCTTAACAGACTATGAGAAAAGTAAAAGGTCAAAACAAGTCATATTAGTATGCTGTCATAATTGGATTTTGAACAGATTCTCACCAGCTTAAAAACAAAAGCATATGCATCTGACTACACAACAGTTTTTTTCCAAACAAGTTCTGTATCTACAAACTAACATTTTGTCTAACCTCAAATACTATTTCCTGCCATTACCACCAATTCGTAGATGAGTGGTAGCAACACTGAAAGCAAATTCATAAAAAAAGATACTCAGAACTACTTATCAGTAGTTTCCTGCCAAAACAGAAGATCTGAGTGAGGTCCCTTGGAACCAAAGCCCTGATGCAGGTCTAATGGTCAGTATTTTCATCAACTGCCTCTGTGAGGGGAAGGGGCATACAGGTGTTAAATTCGCGGATAACACCACCTCAGGACTGCAAGAACACCAACTTACAAGAAAAAATTCAAAATCATTTTAACTAATCAGATGCACGGAAGACTGAAAGATACAGCCACTAGACACAATTAACTGCATCTACAAAACCAGAATAAAAGCCCATATAGGAGTTCTGTAGAAAAAGATCAAAAGGCTATAGCCAATCACAGGTTGAATATGTAGTATTATCCCATTGAGAAAAAGGCCTTCAGTACTAAGGAGGCTGGAGGAGGAGTGGGATCCACAGTTGAATCACTGTGAACCAACTGGACAGCATCCAGAAGAGTGGAACATGAGACACAAGAGATCCTGAAAACATGACATACAACACAAGGCTAAACAATCTAAAAAGCAAAGAGCAAACAAATTAGAGTCATTTAGCCTACAGGAAAAGAAACTTGGGATATATTAGCACATATTCCAAATATATAAAAGACAGTGTTCCAACAAAAAAAAAGGATAATCTGAAGGGCAAAGAAGAACAGAAGTAGGCTGAAGTTGCAGCTAGGAAAATTTAGTTTGGATATTGGAAAAACAAACAAAACTTTCTTTCTTATGGAAAGGAATAATTAAAAACCAAAATAAGTCACATGGGAAGGTTGCAATGTCTCTGTAACACAAGGGCTTATATCTAGGTCATTCAAGTCTATCTTTAATTGAGCGTTTCCTGAAGCTACATGACTCACCAGAACCCTTCCTAGCTCTAACCTGCAGGTGATGGCAAAAGACAACAAGCAAGACACTGAAACAGTATTAATTCAGAAAACAGGCTAAGAAAATTACTAAAATAAAAACCAAAAAGCTTTAAGACATGGAACAAGCTAGTGAAGTGAAATTTTCAACTGTTAAGTTGTTTGACAAGGAATCAGTGATTGTCCAGGAAGTGGTGAATTTCAGCATGAGTGTCACGCATTCCTAATCTCAGAACCAACTTTGAAGTGCATACGTAGACTCATTGTTCTCTGATGCCAATTGAAAGGACAACTGATGAAACAGCTAGAAAGGGCATTACCAATTCCACTACAGGAGGTGAGGAAACTACCTTTGCAGTTGTGTTGCTCCACTTGTGAAAGCAGGCTCACACCTTGATTCCTGACAAATAAAACCTGACACTTCACAGAACTCCACCAGAAGATACTTCTGTACTAGTTAACTATAGAGTATGATGAACAGTGAGCACAATGAGCTACATAAAAAATGGCTGGTATAACCAAGAATTTTCTTTTATCCATACATATCTCTAACACAGGGCATTAGGTATGTTCACAATCAGGATGGTGCCATTTTAAAGTAAAGGAATAATTAAAAAATCATTTAAAACATACAAATTATTCTATTTGGCATCATTACTACAGAAACATTCTGCTTCAGAAAGGAAGAGGTCCAGAAGAAAGTAGGAATAAAGAAAGGAAGGGGAATTTTTCAAAGAGACTTGAAGGAGAATGAACTTTAGATAACAAGCAGTGGAAGGCTGCTCCAGTCACATGCTCCAGTGTGAAAACTTGTTTAAAGATAAGAGTGGAGCAGGGAGACAAAACGTAGATAGGGAGAAGGACAGGAGAAAAAGCATATAGGATGCCGAAAGCAAAAAAAAAAAAAAAAAAAAAAGGAACTGTTCACAACTTTAAGAAATACAAGCATGGGAGATGAAAAAAACACACCTGTTAAATGCTGACACAAAATCTAAAATGAGAACAATGTTTGTAGCAGAGGCATTTTGGATATCTGGCATTAGTGACACATTATTTCTAAATCAATCCAGAAGATGCCACAATAAAAGTGTTTTGCAAGCAAGAAAAAAAATGTGCTTAATTAGTAAGACTAGGTACACAGATCTTTTCTACCTCAGAAAATGTCTGGCAATCACAAAATGCCAGACATCCTCACTTTGGAAAGTCACATTCTACAGCCTGAAAAAATTCCACTCTAAACCAAACAGATGTAAAGCAGGGAAAAAACAGAAAAAGCAGAGAAAGCGACTGGCAGTCTTCTGATGGTGATAAATGCTAATCTTCTTGCCACTTTCTGAAAGTTATTAAAAGATAAATGAAAAATTTCAGAGTGACTAGGGTATCACTGATTTTTTTCCAAAGTATTTATATGCACTTTTCAGGCTGCTATCTGAGCACCTGAAAGTTCATGAGTTTAATGACATTTTTATTATGCAAAGTAAAGACCTCCATACAACTCAAGCCTAACTGCACTAGCACATCCATCAGAGGAGAACTCCTCTGCTGAAGCAGACTCAGCTGATTGAAAGCAAGGAATCTATTTTCCAAATGAGAACCTCAGGCCATACCAGGGGTGCAGACGTGCAGCTAAATCACCTTAAAATTTTATTCTATACACATTTAACTCTGTTTTGTTGAAATTTACCACAGAGAAAGTGCAGAAGCTGGGCAGTCAGCAAATCTATGGAGATGGTAATGCAAAAGCAAGGCAGGCTGATGAACCTCTTCAGTTGTCAGAGCTATGGTTGGAAAAGGACACATCTGGGACAACCTGAGTGACTTGACTGTAGTCACAGCAGGAAATAAGTGTCAGAGCTGGGAACAGAAGCCAGAATTCCTAAGTTTCATGTCTAAATATTAAAGATCATTTGAAATTACCCAACAACACTGTTATCACATAATTAGCTGGTGAGACTTCAAACAAGTACATCTTCCAGAGAAATTTTAATTACACACCTCTCCAAGGAAAATTCTGCACAGACATTGAACTTAACTGTTCAAGAATTGAAATGCCTTTAACTTTTCTGTAACTGTGGGGCTGGTCACAGATCCTGCTCCTGACACAAAACTGATTTATAGTCCAAATTTCTGCCAGGCAAAGAGATTTTGCATAGTATCTATACGCAAGCCAGCAAAGAGGTACAGAAAGCACACTGTTTCCTAATTTCACCTATTAGACATTTCTTTCCCTTTCTAATGTCATTACCAAACTCAGCTGCAAAACTAGGGTAACATGCCCTTGTCAAAGGATTTCTGCAGCTAAATAGCATGAGCAGAGAATCCCTAAATTAAATTTTGAATCTTGCAAAAAAAATTCAGTCGTCACTAATATCTTTCAACAAGTTAGTTTTCCAGCAGTTATCTACTGAAGTAGTTTCTGCCTTAGTGCATAGATCACAGAATGGTTTGGGTTGGAAGGGACCTTGAAGATCATCTAGTTTCAACCCCTTTGCCATGGGCAGGGACACCTTCCACTACACCAGGTTGCTCAAAGCCCTGTCCAACCTGGCCTTGAACCCACTACTACTCCCAAGTCCTTCCCTGCAGGGCTGCTCTCAATCCACTCCTCGCCCAGCCTGGGTTTGTGTTTGGGATTGCCCCGACCCACGGGCAGGACCTTGCCCTTGGCCTTGTTGAACTTCATGAGGTTTGCATGGGCCCACCTCTCCAGCCTGTCCAGGTCTCTCTGGATGGCATCCCTTCCCTCCAGCATGTCAACTGCACCACATAGCTTGGTGTCATTGGTGAACTTGCTGAGGGTGCACTCAACCCTCTTGTTCATGTCACCAACAAAGATGTTAAATAGCACTGGTCCCAACACCAACCCCTGAGGAGCACCATGCCATGCATCAACTGCTCTCCACTTGGACATCTTGCTGTCGACCTCAACTCTGAGTGCAACCATCGAGCCAATTCCTTTCCCACCGAGTGGTCCATCTGTCAAATTCATGCCTCTCCAATATAGAGATGAGAATGTCATGTGGGACAGTGTCAAATGCTTTGCACAAATCCAGGTAGATTACATCAGTTGCTCTTCCCTTGTCCACCAGCATTGTAATCCCATCATAGAAGGCCACCAAATCTTTCAGGCACAATTCACCCTCAGTGAAGCCATGTTGGCTGTCTCCCAGTTACCTAATTTTCCATGTGCTCAAGCATATTTTCCAGGAGGATCTACTCCATGATCTTGCTAGACACAGAGGTGAAACTAACTGGCCTATAGTTCTCTGGGTCTTCTTTATTTCCCTTTCTTAGAAATTAGAACTATGTTTCCCCTTTTCCAGTCAGTGGGACCTTCACTAGACTGTCACAACTTCTCAAGTATGATGGGTAGCAGCTTATCCACTTCATCTATCAGTACCCTCAGATGCATATCAGGTCCCATAGACTTGTGCATCTTCATGTTCCCTAGATAGTCTTGAACCTCATCGTCTATAGTGAGCAGTTCTTCTTTCTCTCAGCCATTGCCTTTACTTTCTGCACCT